AGCAGTAATATTTAGAAAATATTAAAATGTATAAAAACAATGATTTTACTGAGAGAAATGATTTAACACTATAGAGATTAGAGAAAAATAATTTACAATGTAGAGATGGGGGCGATGGGTGAGAGAATGTTTTAAATTGCAACACATCCTGTTATAGAAAAAAAAGGTTGTGCTGAAACTAGAAAGAGACAGCGCAAAAGGAAAAGGTTTTTCTCTGCAAAATGGTTTACATTTCTAACTGTCCTTGCTGCTGGAATTTAGAAATAATGTAAATGGTAGTCACAAAAATGTCTAAGTGAAAAAACAACAACTATCTCCTAAGATGTAACCTCTACAGAGAAGAGGCGGATTGAGATCGCTAAATTTGTCTCTGTCCATGGTGCTGATTGAAATATAATTATTAACGGCGACTGTTAAAAACTTACAAACGGTAAATATAACATACATGAGGAAATAATTTATCACTGAAGTTACCCCATATGACCAACCTCTAGAGGTGAGTCTGGTTCATCCAGGATGCTCTTTTCACTCTGTATCCGCTGCATCGTCCCTGTAGAACTGGGGTCCATTATCAGCACGTTCTGACTACCAGCTCTGCCGAACTTACAGTCACTCTTTCTGGAGTCAGTCGTCCTGCACACCTCGTAGTTGTACACGTGCTGGAGAGTCCCTGTCCCCAAAGTGTCTGAGTAACGTGGTGGATAATACGGAATCACAGGGAGATTGGAGTGATACAGGACGCGAGACTGTCTCCATCTGTAGATTTTCACTGATATAATAACCACTAAACACGTGATGAAGAGGAAGGAAACTACAGCCAAAGCCAGCACTAAGTAAAAAGTCAGGTTGTCATTGTACTCCTTGTCGTGAGTAAAGTCAGTGAACTCCGACAGCACTTCAGGGAAGCTGTCCGCCACCGCCACGTTAACAATGACTGTAGCTGAACGAGAGGGCTGCCCGTTGTCCTCCACTATAACAGTCAGTCTTTGTTTCACAGCATCTTTATCAGTCACTTGGCGGATAGTTCTTATTTCTCCATTCTGTAAGCCCACTTCAAACAGCGCCCTGTCTGTGGCTTTCTGCAGTTTATAGGAGAGCCAGGCATTCTGTCCAGAGTCCACATCAACAGCCACCACTTTAGTGACCAGATAGCCCACATCTGCTGAACGAGGCACCATTTCAGCCACCAGAGAGCCACCAGTCTGGACTGGGTACAGAACCTGAGGGGGGTTGTCGTTCTGGTCTTGGATCATTATTTTCACAGTCACGTTGCTACTGAGTGGAGGGGAGCCTCCATCCTGCGCTTTGACGCGGAACTGGAAGTCTTTGATCTGCTCGTAGTCAAAAGAGCGCACTGCATGGATGACTCCACTATCAGCACTAACGGACACATATGAGGAGACTGGCACTCCGTTAACAGAGGAGTCCTCCAGTATGTAAGAAACACGCGCATTCTGGTTCCAGTCAGCGTCTCTGGCTTTCACTGTGAATATAGAGAGGCCTGGTGTGTTGTTTTCTACAATGTAGGCCTCATATGAGCTCCTCTCAAAAACAGGCGCGTTGTCATTCACATCAGAGATCTGTAAGGTGAGAGTGACGCTGCTGGAGAGGGAGGGCACTCCCTCATCAGAGCAGGTCACTGTTATATTATACTCAGAGGCTCTCTCTCGTCTAAATCACTGTCTGTCACTAAACTATAGAAATTATTAGATGTCGACTTCAATAGGAAAGGAATATTCTCATTAATAAAACATTGAACTTTACCATTTTCACCAGAGTCTGGGTCTTGGATGTTAATCATTGTAACGACAGTGTTGGAGTTTGCACTCTCTGATATAATGGCTGATTTAGACATGATTTTAATGGTTGGTTCATTGTCATTAATATCAACGACGTCAGCAATCACTTTACAAGAATCCGTTAGTCCCCCGTTATCCATTGCGCGTACATTGATCTGAAAATTTCTTTTCTTTTCATAGTCTAAGCGTCCAATCAACCTAACCTCGCCGTTGTCCTCATTTATTTCAAACATATGTCTGACGTCATCCAAAGTATTTGTGATTGAATATGTGATTTTACCATTTAATCCATGGTCAGCATCTGACGCACTAACAGTAGTCACGATCGTACCCTTTGCAGCATTTTCAGCTACAGTGCCTTTGTATATCGGCTGTGTAAAAACAGGTGCATTGTCATTTACATCTAACACTGTGATGAGAATCTGCATTGTTCCTGACATCTGTGGCTCTCCTCCATCTAAAGCCGTCAACGCCAAAGACATGAACTCATGTTTCTCTCTGTCCAGAGGTTTCTGTAATACCATTTCAACATTCTTTGTACCATCCGCTTGGGTGTGAAGTTTAAGGACAAAATTATCACTTGGCTTGAGTACGTAGCTTTGGAGAGTGTTAATACCTACGTCCAAATCCACTGCTCGTTCTAAAACAAATTTAGACCCAACAACAGCAGATTCGCTAATTCTGAATTTGATGTCGCTCTTTTCGAAAGATGGTGTATTGTCGTTTATATCTGTAATTTCAACTGTTACACTGTAAAACTCCATCGGATTCTCTAACACAATCTGAAAATGCACAGCACACGGTGTCGTATCACCGCACAGCGCCTCTCTGTCTATTCTCTCTTTGATAAAGAGGACTCCTCTTTCGCTGTTCAGCTCGATGTATTGTCTGCTATCACCAGAATAAACACGAGCGTTACCCAACTTCAGTCGTTTAACGTCTAAACCTAAATCCTGAGCTATATTACCGACCGAAGAGCCTTTCGCCATTTCCTCCGGAATAGAGTAGCTGACCTGCCCGAAGACTGAACCAAGAGAGAGGATCGAAATAAACAAGAGTACTTGCCGACTCATTGTTTGAAATGATCTCTGCAAGAAGAAACAGGAACCTCGTAAAATCCGTCAGAAAGAAGGAAATGCATTAAAACAAAATATGAAGAGAAAACAGTCCTCGAATTTGAAGCAAAACAATAACAGTTTAGCTCCGACGTGTATATCGGCCCCTCTAGCGAAGACAATGCTGTCTGCCCCTTTCCTTTCACTCTAATACACCGAAATGAAGAGGCGGTACTGTTGTAAATATACTACAACTGCAACAGATTAGGCAACAGCGGCCCATTGAGTTCAGAAAGCAAAACTGCAGAACATGTTAGAAAATGGGAGAGGTGGAAAAGCTGAGAAAATAACGTAGATAGGTTGGAATTCAATTGTGACAGCCTATGCATTTCTAGTTAAATATATCTAAATTGTAACACAATCGCAATGTGTAAAAACCAAAAGATCACAACTACATTCCAAGTATGGGGGTAAACACTGACCGTTTTCTATCTGTCACTGAATAACACGTAGCTCATATTTATATACACCCATGTTGCTCTCCAAGGTAACGTTACTGAAAAGAAAAGACCACACGGATTTACCAAAATGATAGCTCATTTTGTTAAACCATTTGGTAATTACAAGTAATAAGAGAGGTAACACCTTTCTAACCTCTAGAGGAGAGTCTGGTTCATCCAGGATGCTCTTTTCACTCTGTATCCGCTGCATCGTCCCTGTAGAACTGGGGTCCATTATCAGCACGTTCTGACTACCAGCTCTGCCGAACTTACAGTCACTCTTTCTGGAGTCAGTCGTCCTGCACACCTCGTAGTTGTACACGTGCTGGAGAGTCCCTGTCCCCAAAGTGTCTGAGTAACGTGGTGGATAATACGGAATCACAGGGAGATTGGAGTGATACAGGACGCGAGACTGTCTCCATCTGTAGATTTTCACTGATATAATAACCACTAAACACGTGATGAAGAGGAAGGAAACTACAGCCAAAGCCAGCACTAAGTAAAAAGTCAGGTTGTCATTGTACTCCTTGTCGTGAGTAAAGTCAGTGAACTCCGACAGCACTTCAGGGAAGCTGTCCGCCACCGCCACGTTAACAATGACTGTAGCTGAACGAGAGGGCTGCCCGTTGTCCTCCACTATAACAGTCAGTCTTTGTTTCACAGCATCTTTATCAGTCACTTGGCGGATAGTTCTTATTTCTCCATTCTGTAAGCCCACTTCAAACAGCGCCCTGTCTGTGGCTTTCTGCAGTTTATAGGAGAGCCAGGCATTCTGTCCAGAGTCCACATCAACAGCCACCACTTTAGTGACCAGATAGCCCACATCTGCTGAACGAGGCACCATTTCAGCCACCAGAGAGCCACCAGTCTGGACTGGGTACAGAACCTGAGGGGGGTTGTCGTTCTGGTCCTGGATCATTATTTCACAGTCACGTTGCTACTGAGTGGAGGGGAGCCTCCATCCTGCGCTTTGACGCGGAACTGGAAGTCTTTGATCTGCTCGTAGTCAAAAGAGCGCACTGCATGGATGACTCCACTATCAGCACTAACGGACACATATGAGGAGACTGGCACTCCGTTAACAGAGGAGTCCTCCAGTATGTAAGAAACACGCGCATTCTGGTTCCAGTCAGCGTCTCTGGCTTTCACTGTGAATATAGAGAGGCCTGGTGTGTTGTTTTCTACAATGTAGGCCTCATATGAGCTCCTCTCAAAAACAGGCGCGTTGTCATTCACATCAGAGATCTGTAAGGTGAGAGTGACGCTGCTGGAGAGGGAGGGCACTCCCTCATCAGAGCAGGTCACTGTTATTTATACTCAGAAGCTCTCTCTCGTCTAAATCACTGTCTGTCACTAAACTATAAAAATTATTTGAAGTAAATTTAATTTCAAATGGGATATTTTCATTAATCACACAGTACACTTTCCCATTGGTTTCCGAATCAGGATCATTTACACTAATTAAAGCTATTACTGTTTTGTGGGCTGAATCTTCTGGTACTGAGCCTGATGTTGAGATCATATTTACAATAGGGCCATTGTCATTCATGTCAATTACGTCAATTATTATCTTACTGGAATCAGAGAGTCCACCTTGATCAGTCGCTTCGATATCGATGTGATAATTTCTTTCTGTTTCATAGTCTACTGGGCCATTTAATATCACATCTCCTTCACTGTTAATGTGAAATAACTTTGAAACAGTATCCATGCTATTCCCTATAACGTACGTCACCTCTCCATTTGAGCCTTTGTCTGCATCAGATGCACTGACCTTAGTAACAAGTGTTCCTATTGGGGAGTTTTCTGTAATGCTCGCTTTGTAAACGGGTTTACTGAAAACAGGGGCATTGTCGTTGCATCCAGAACAGTAACATGGATATGCATTGTTCCAGTCATTTGTGGTTCTCCTCCATCCTCCGCAGTCAAAACTAAAGATATGTGTTCTTGTTTCTCTCGGTCCAACGGCTTTTGTAAAATCATTTCTACCTTTTTGCTTCCATCAGCTTGAGTGTGCAGTTTAAGCACAAAATTCTCACTCGGCTTTAGAGTGTATCTCTGAAGACCATTCTGTCCGATATCAGGGTCAATCGCTTTCTCTAGCATGAACTTAGAGCCGATGACTGCAGACTCGCTTATTTCAAACCTCCTCTCCTGCTTTTGGAAAACTGGAGCGTTGTCATTAGTATCGGTAATTTCTACAGTAACTGGAAATAATTCGAGTGGGTTTTCTAACGTAATTTGAAAATGCAAAGCGCAAGGCGTTGTCTGTCTGCAGAGCACTTCGCGGTCTATTTTTTCTTTAACAAGGAGGACTCCTCTTTCTTTATTCAGCTCGATATACTGAACACTGTCTCCCGTATAAATACGACCTTTGCCTGTCTTAAGTCGTTTGACATCTAAACCTAAATCTTGAGCTATGTTACCGACCAAAGATCCTTTTGCCATTTCCTCCGGAATTGAATAGCTGACCTGCCCGATCGCAGAACTGAGGCAGAAGATGGAGATTAACAACAGTACTTGCCGTTTCATTGTTCTGTCCGATATGCCTGTCGCACCACAGCTACGGCGTTTTGTTCCGTTTTACCAGTAAGATTCCGTCACATGTAATTTACCAATTGAAAATAAACATGTTGTTATTCCAGACATAAAAAATAGAATTCCAGCCTGAGACGTCCGTGGATGGTCTGATCGCCGAAGTGTGCATTCTACGTATGTGACTTTGCCTGAGCAATATGCCAGGACGACGACTGAGAGAATCTGTTGCAAAAGCAATTCAATACTGCAACATATTGGGCAACAGCGGCCCGATGAGTTCAAATTGTGAAAGTACATAACAAAAACAGGAAGAAAGCCATGAATACTCAAATACTACATCCACAAAAAAAAAAAAAAAGAAAATCACACGTATCCTCACGAACTTGTCATAATTAAAAATAAATAAATAAAATTCTCCTATAGGGAATCAGTCATATAAAGTGGAAAAATAGAATAATGGATAAAATACTCTACTGCAGACAGAGAGAGCTACAAAATGGAAACAATGTGGAACTGTGCTTTCATATTCGCTTTCCAAGGTGCTGAAAATGTGCCTAACTTGCGCCTTAAATAAAACTTATTAGTCTCATTCCTTCTGCCAACACTTAAGAAATAACCAATATGACCAACCTCTAGAGGAGAGTCTGGTTCATCCAGGATGCTCTTTTCACTCTGTATCCGCTGCATCGTCCCTGTAGAACTGGGGTCCATTATCAGCACGTTCTGACTACCAGCTCTGCCGAACTTACAGTCACTCTTTCTGGAGTCAGTCGTCCTGCACACCTCGTAGTTGTACACGTGCTGGAGAGTCCCTGTCCCCAAAGTGTCTGAGTAACGTGGTGGATAATACGGAATCACAGGGAGATTGGAGTGATACAGGACGCGAGACTGTCTCCATCTGTAGATTTTCACTGATATAATAACCACTAAACACGTGATGAAGAGGAAGGAAACTACAGCCAAAGCCAGCACTAAGTAAAAAGTCAGGTTGTCATTGTACTCCTTGTCGTGAGTAAAGTCAGTGAACTCCGACAGCACTTCAGGGAAGCTGTCCGCCACCGCCACGTTAACAATGACTGTAGCTGAACGAGAGGGCTGCCCGTTGTCCTCCACTATAACAGTCAGTCTTTGTTTCACAGCATCTTTATCAGTCACTTGGCGGATAGTTCTTATTTCTCCATTCTGTAAGCCCACTTCAAACAGCGCCCTGTCTGTGGCTTTCTGCAGTTTATAGGAGAGCCAGGCATTCTGTCCAGAGTCCACATCAACAGCCACCACTTTAGTGACCAGATAGCCCACATCTGCTGAACGAGGCACCATTTCAGCCACCAGAGAGCCACCAGTCTGGACTGGGTACAGAACCTGAGGGGGGTTGTCGTTCTGGTCCTGGATCATTATTTTCACAGTCACGTTGCTACTGAGTGGAGGGGAGCCTCCATCCTGCGCTTTGACGCGGAACTGGAAGTCTTTGATCTGCTCGTAGTCAAAAGAGCGCACTGCATGGATGACTCCACTATCAGCACTAACGGACACATATGAGGAGACTGGCACTCCGTTAACAGAGGAGTCCTCCAGTATGTAAGAAACACGCGCATTCTGGTTCCAGTCACGTCTCTGGCTTTCACTGTGAATATAGAGAGGCCTGGTGTGTTGTTTTCTACAATGTAGGCCTCATATGAGCTCCTCTCAAAGACAGGCGCGTTGTCATTCACATCAGAGATCTGTAAGGTGAGAGTGACGCTGCTGGAGAGGGAGGGCACTCCCTCATCAGAGCAGGTCACTGTTATATTATACTCAGAGGCTCTCTCTCTGTCTAAATCACTGTCTGTCACTAAACTATAGAAATTATTAGATGTCGACTTCAATAGGAAAGGAATATTCTCATTAATAAAACATTGAACTTTACCATTTTCACCAGAGTCTGGGTCTTGGATGTTAATCATTGTAACGACAGTGTTGGAGTTTGCACTCTCTGATATAATGGCTGATTTAGACATGATTTTAATGGTTGGTTCATTGTCATTAATATCAACAACGTCAACAATCACTTTACAAGAATCCGTTAGTCCCCCGTTATCCCTTGCACGTACATTGATCTGAAAATTTCTTTTCTTTTCATAGTCTAAGCGTCCAATCAACCTAACCTCGCCGTTGTCCTCATTTATTTCAAACATATGTCTGACGTCATCCAAAGTATTTGTGATTGAATATGTGATTTTACCATTTAATCCATGGTCAGCATCTGACGCACTAACAGTAGTCACGATCGTACCCTTTGCAGCATTTTCAGCTACAGTGCCTTTGTATATCGGCTGTGTAAAAACAGGTGCATTGTCATTTACATCTAACACTGTGATGAGAATCTGCATTGTTCCTGACATCTGTGGCTCTCCTCCATCTAAAGCCGTCAACGCCAAAGACATGAACTCATGTTTCTCTCTGTCCAGAGGTTTCTGTAATACCATTTCAACATTCTTTGTACCATCCGCTTGGGTGTGAAGTTTAAGGACAAAATTATCACTTGGCTTGAGTACGTAGCTTTGGAGAGTGTTAATACCTACGTCCAAATCCACTGCTCGTTCTAAATCAAATTTTGCACCAACAACTGCAGACTCACTTATTATGAATTTAATTTCGCCTTTTTCAAAGGTTGGTGTATTGTCGTTTATGTCTGTAATTTCAACTGTTACACTGTAAAACTCCATCGGATTCTCTAACACAATCTGAAAATGCACAGCACACGGTGTCGTATCACCGCACAGCGCCTCTCTGTCTATTCTCTCTTTGATAAAGAGGACTCCTCTTTCGCTGTTCAGCTCGATGTATTGTCTGCTATCACCAGAATAAACACGAGCGTTACCCAACTTCAGTCGTTTAACGTCTAAACCTAAATCCTGAGCTATATTACCGACCGAAGAGCCTTTCGCCATTTCCTCCGGAATAGAGTAGCTGACCTGCCCGAAGACTGAACCAAGAGAGAGGATCGAAATAAACAAGAGTACTTGCCGACTCATTGTTTGAAATGATCTCTGCAAGAAGAAACAGGAACCTCGTAAAATCCGTCAGAAGAAGGAAATGCATTAAAACAAAATATGAAGAGAGAACAGTCCTCGAATTTGAAGCAAAACAATAACAGTTTAGCTCCGACGTGTATATCGGCCCCTCTAGCGAAGACAATGCTGTCTGCCCCTTTCCTTTCACTCTAATACATCGAAATGAAGAGGCGGTACTGTTGTAAATATACTACAACTGCAACAGATTAGGCAACAGCGGCCCATTGAGTTCAGAAAGCAAAACTGCAGAACATGTTAGAAAATGGGAGAGGTGGAAAAGCTGAGAAAATAACGTAGATAGGTTGGAATTCAATTGTGACAGCCTATGCATTTCTAGTTAAATATATCTAAATTGTAACACAATCGCAATGTGTAAAAACCAAAAGATCAAACTACATTCCAAGTATGGGGGTAAACACTGACCGTTTTCTATCTGTCACTGAATAACACGTAGCTCATATTTATATACACCCCATGTTGCTCTCCAAGGTAACGTTACTGAAAAAGAAAAGACCACACGGATTTACCAAAATGATAGCTCATTTTGTAAACCATTTGGTAATTACAAGTAATAAGAGAGGTAACACCTTTCTAACCTCTAGAGGAGAGTCTGGTTCATCCAGGATGCTCTTTTCACTCTGTATCCGCTGCATCGTCCCTGTAGAACTGGGGTCCATTATCAGCACGTTCTGACTACCAGCTCTGCCGAACTTACAGTCACTCTTTCTGGAGTCAGTCGTCCTGCACACCTCGTAGTTGTACACGTGCTGGAGAGTCCCTGTCCCCAAAGTGTCTGAGTAACGTGGTGGATAATACGGAATCACAGGGAGATTGGAGTGATACAGGACGCGAGACTGTCTCCATCTGTAGATTTTCACTGATATAATAACCACTAAACACGTGATGAAGAGGAAGGAAACTACAGCCAAAGCCAGCACTAAGTAAAAAGTCAGGTTGTCATTGTACTCCTTGTCGTGTGTAAAGTCAGTGAACTCCGACAGCACTTCAGGGAAGCTGTCCGCCACCGCCACGTTAACAATGACTGTAGCTGAACGAGAGGGCTGCCCGTTGTCCTCCACTATAACAGTCAGTCTTTGTTTCACAGCATCTTTATCAGTCACTTGGCGGATAGTTCTTATTTCTCCATTCTGTAAGCCCACTTCAAACAGCGCCCTGTCTGTGGCTTTCTGCAGTTTATAGGAGAGCCAGGCATTCTGTCCAGAGTCCACATCAACAGCCACCACTTTAGTGACCAGATAGCCCACATCTGCTGAACGAGGCACCATTTCAGCCACCAGAGAGCCACCAGTCTGGACTGGGTACAGAACCTGAGGGGGGTTGTCGTTCTGGTCTGGATCATTATTTCACAGTCACGTTGCTACTGAGTGGAGGGGAGCCTCCATCCTGCGCTTTGACGCGGAACTGGAAGTCTTTGATCTGCTCGTAGTCAAAAGAGCGCACTGCATGGATGACTCCACTATCAGCACTAACGGACACATATGAGGAGACTGGCACTCCGTTAACAGAGGAGTCCTCCAGTATGTAAGAAACACGCGCATTCTGGTTCCAGTCAGCGTCTCTGGCTTTCACTGTGAATATAGAGAGGCCTGGTGTGTTGTTTTCTACAATGTAGGCCTCATATGAGCTCCTCTCAAAACAGGCGCGTTGTCATTCACATCAGAGATCTGTAAGGTGAGAGTGACGCTGCTGGAGAGGGAGGGCACTCCCTCATCAGAGCAGGTCACTGTTATATTATACTCAGAGGCTCTCTCTCTGTCTAAATCACTGTCTGTCACTAAGCTATAGAACCTATTTGATGTCGACATTATTGTCAAAGGGTTGTTATCGTTGATAAAACAGTGAACTTTACCATTTTCATTTGAATCTGGGTCTTGAACGTTCATCATTGCTACGACAGTGTTCGGTTTAGAGTGTTCAGATATCATGTTTGATTTTGACATTACATTAATAGTTGGCGTGTTGTCGTTCACATCGACCACTTCAACTATGACTTTACATGAATCTGTAAGTCCACCATCATCACTTGCACGTATGTTAACATGGTAAGTCTGTGCATTTTCATAATCAATCTTTCCAATCAATTTGATTTCACCGCTGTCTTCGTTTATCTGAAACAGTGCATGGGCTTGATCTAAACTGTTTGTGATTGAATATTTAATTCTTCCATTCGTTCCATAATCTGCATCTGACGCAGCAACGCTGGTGACAACAGTCCCTTCTGGGGCATTTTCAAATACGGTGGCTGTATAGGTGGACTGTGT